GTGGCCTCGATGCCTGCGGGGACAGCAGGACTGTCACCCCGGGTTATCCCCGAGTCCCCCTCGGGCCGTACCCAGGGTTTCGTGGTGGCCGAAGTGGCCTCGATGCCTGCGGGGACAGAGGCACTGTCACCCCTGGGTCCCCCTTGGGTCGTACCCAAGGGCTCGTGGTGGCCTCGATGCCTGCGGGGACACCGGGACTGTCACTCCCGGATCCCCCCAGCAGTATCCAAGGACTCGTGGTGGCCCTGGGTTGCCTGCGGGGACAGCAGGACTGTCACCCCCGGGTCCCCCCGTGTCCCCCCGGCCGTACCCAGGGACTCGGGGTGGCCTCGATGCCTGCGGGGACAGCAGGACTGTCACCCTCGATGCCTGCGGGGACAGAGGGACTGTCACCCCCGGGTCCCCCCGGCCTTACCCAGGGTCTCGTGGTGGGCGGGGGGCACGGGGGTCCCCCCCAGCCAGGCCACCAGCGCTGTCTTGCCGACGCCGCTCCTGCCCGCCAGGAAGAGCTTGTAGGTGACCGTGGGCACAGCCAGCGCGGGCGGCAGCGCCGGGCGCTCCAGCAGACCTGGGGAGGGGCTCGGGGTCACTCGGGGGGCTGAGACCCCGGCTGGGGGGCGCGGGCTGGGGGGCACGCACCGAACATTCTCCGCTGGTTCTTGTGCACGATGGAGTCCAGGTAGGGGCGGCCGGCGGGGGACAGGAGCCAGCCCGGCTCCAGCGCCCGGTCCTGCTCTGCCATGGGCCTGGGGCACAGCCAGGAGCCCCCCTGCCCCCGCGGGGTCACGGCATCCGCGGCTCTGGGTCCCCTTCTGACCCACTCCCACCCTCCCCAGGGCGCCTAAATCCTCATTAGGGTCCATAAAACACCCCCCGCACCCCAGCATCCACCCACGGGCTCCCCAAAACCACCGACACCCCTCCGTGGGTGCCTCACCCCCTCCACGGGCTCTGTGGAGCCCCCTCATCCTCCCATGGGGTCTGAGCACCTCTCTGGGCTCCCAAAGCCTCTCCGAGGACCCTCCAGGGGGTCCCACCACCCTCCCACGGGTTCCTGGCCCCACCACGGGGGTCTCTGCGCCCCCCCAGGACCCCACCACAGCCCCCCACCGCTGGGGTCCCTGCCCCCCTCAGGGTCCCTCACAGCCCCGCACGCAGTCCCCGCCACCCCCGCGGGGTCCGTGCCGCCCCCGTGTCCCCACAGCATTTCCAAGGGGGAGGACCCAGCCCCCCGCGGCTGCCCCCCACGCCTCGCCCCTCACGCCAATTTTCCCGCGCGGGCCCTTTAAGACGCGGCCCCGCCGCTCACCTGAGGCCGCTTCCGCCTCGCCGTGACGTCACGAAAGGAGGCGTGTCCAAGGGAGACCACGCCCAGTCACCGCTGCGCGTGCGCGCTGGGGTGTGCGGGCACGTGGAGTGGCCTCGTCCCTGCGGATTTTGGGGTTTTGGGGGGTCCCCATCCCAAATTACTGACACGGGAATGGCCTGGGGGTCTCCATCCCCAGTTCCCAGCACTGGCGTTATCTGCAGTTCCCAACGGCCAGTTTTTCCAGGCTTCGGAGCCCTCACTCATCCCTCATCACCGACACTGGAATGCTTTGGGCTCCAGCATCTCCCACACTGGCAGAACTTGGGAGTCCAAATTTCCAGCCCCATCCCCAATTTCCATTCCAGCAGGCTGTGGGATCCTCAGGTCTCAGCACTGGCAGGATTTGGAGTCCCTCAAATCACAAATTTTCAGCCCCAACTGGTTTTGGGTCCTCTATGCCAAATTTCCAGCCCCAAGAGTTTTTGAGGTTCCCAATTCCCAGCACTGGGAGGCTTTGGCATCCCCAGTTACCACCTCCAGCAGTCTTTGGGATCCTCATTCCCAATTTCCATCCCTAACAGGGTTTGGTGTCCCCAGTGCTGAGAGCCTTTGGATCCCTGTCCCTGGCAGGACCTGGGATCCACAATTTCCAGCACAGGTAGGACCTGGGTTCCCTGCCCTGGCAGGTTTTGAGGTCCCCATCCCAAACAGGGTTTGGGATCCCTGAATTCCCAGCTCCAATAGTCTTTGGGATCCCCAATTTCCAACCCCAATAGACTTTGGGATCCCAAATTTCCAACCCCAATAGGCTTTGGGATTCCCAATTTCTGTCTCCAAGAGGCTTCAGTGTTCCCAGTTCCCCGTGTCCCCCTTTGCCTCCCTCCACTGCTCCAACATCCCCTGGCACAAGTATTTCCCTTCTCTTACCCCAAAAGACCCCAAATCCCCCCTTTCACCCCCAAACTTGTTGGCAGCGCAGCAGGAACTTCCTCTCCAGGTCACTCCCACCCCACCCCTCCCCAAAAGCACCAACCATCCATTTCTTTTCCTTTTTATTTGTTAAACCACTAAAAATTCGTCGGGAAGGTGGGGGGGGGGGAACCCCCATGAACCCCCCAAAAGTGTACACAAGATTTTAAATATCGCCGGAATCGCTTCCCATTCCTGCGCTCGGCCCGGGAGTGGCGGGGGGGACACCTGAGTCACGGGGAGGGGGGGACACCTCGCTCACAGCACCAGCAGCTCCCGCCGGATTCGGGGACAGGGACCCAAATTTGGGCTGAATCCCTCCGAAGGGCACAGAACGTGCGTGTCCCGGCGGGGAATCACCCCGAGAGCGGGGCAGGATGTAAACTGGGAGAGCGGCCCTGGAGGGATGCTCCGCAGGGAGGAGGACATCGAGGCGCCATCCATCCCCGGCTTTTGACTCTTTTTTTGGGGACGGATGACAAAAAACATGCAAAAAGGGAACGTGGGGATCGACGCCGAAGCCTCGACCGCCTTCCCCGCGGCCACGCGTGGAGAAGGAAAATTCCACAGCTCACCCGAGGTGCTCCTGAGGTCTGGGGGTTTTTTGGGAGGAGAAAATTGCGTTTTGCTTTCCCTTAGGACAAACCAAATCGTTCCGGGATGAATGGGACGGGTGGGATTCGACAAGGGATTTATTTACAGCGGTGGAAACGCCGCGGGTGAAGCAAATCCCTCCCCGTCCCCACACGGCTGGGATGGGATTTAAGGCTCCGACCGGCAAAAAGCTCAGTGGGAATGGAGAGCAAAAATTCAGGGAAGAAGGGACCACGTCATGGCGCTGCCGGCTTGGGGAGGGCTCCCTGCTTTTAGGGTGCTGGAGGTGGTTGACCAAAACCTGGCAGAATCCGCCCCATTTCCCCGCCGTGGAGGGGACAGGGATGGAGGGGGTTGTCCCAGAAGGACGCACAGGTTCAATCCCTTCGGATTTGGATTTAATCTTTGCGGAAGGAGGCACGTGCAAAGATGAGGTGAAGTTACTGCATCGAGGCTGCCCTCGCATTTACCAGTATCTGTCCTTTTCCCTGGAAAACCCACCCTGCTCCCGGGCTCCAAGGGGCTGCTTCGGCCTTGAACGGGATTGGGCCGTTGAATGAATGAAATTTTTAAGCCTAGAAGGGAATTGGCAGCCAAATATCGCAGTTTTGGGGAAATAACAGGATTTTCAGAGTACTTTTGCTGGTCAGAGGGGATCAGGGCTGACCCCGAAGCCTGATCCAGCAGGGCAGGGAGAGGAGGGATGCTAACAATCAAGATTTTTGGCATTTTGACACAAAAAAATGTCCTTTCCTCCTTCTTTTGGTCCTGCCTGGAGGACAAGGGACGAGAGCGGCAGGCGAGAGGCAAAAAAAAAAAGGCATCGTGTTTGTGTCGAGCAAAGGTTGGCAGCACTGGGAGATTCCCAGAGGGATATTGCTGTTTTCCTGATGGAGTTGAGCATGGAATTAATCAAGCTAACAGCCTCCTGCCTGCTGCAATTTGGGTTATTCCTATAAAACCACTTCTGCTCACAACCCACGAGGAGTTTTCAGAGAGACCGAGACTCGCAAACACTTGGAGAATGAACCCAGGAGGATCCTGGCTGGCGGAATTCCCTGGCTGCTCACCCCGAATCCTCGGATCCTTCCCCGCCTGTAAACACGACTCGCTCGCCTGGGGTCTTGCTGGGAACTGCCAGGGCAGCGCTGGAGGGTTTGCTTGGACTTTTATTGGTTTCCTGCTCCCTAATTCACAGTTTGAACGCCTGCGTGTCGGGAAGGGGCTGGGGAAGGAGGAGGGAGAGCCGCAGGGACAGAGGGACGGGCGGCGGGCGGGGGCCGCATTATCTCTTTGCTCGCACAAAGTACAAGGCATTTGTTTTGGGGTAATATTTGACGTTTTGTTTCTTGTCCATCAGGCCACCGAATATGATCAGCTCCCCTCGGCCTTGCACCACCGTGTGTAAACTGGTCTCGGGCGGCCCCACCACGGAGCTGCTGTTGAACACTTTCCACTTGACTCGTCCCTGCTCCTTGGTGTCCTTAATGTCCAGCACGTACATCTGCATGGGCTTGCAGTTCATGCTCTGGTACAGCGGCTTGCCCACGTTCAGCGACTGCGGCGGGTGGTGCCCGAGGCGCCGGGCGATGGGGGGCAGCGAGTGCCCCTCGCCCTGGGTGACGCTCGGCCGCACGGAGCCCGGCTCGGCGCCCGGGGAGCCCGGGGACGAGGCCAGGGGAGGGCTCAGCGCGGCCGAGGCCGAGGCAGCTTTGGAGGAGAGGGCTTTGACGGCCTCCAGGCTGCGGCGGAGCGCGCCGGGGGACACGGCCCCGGGCAGGGCGGCGTGGGGCGGCGTGTGGATGCCGTTGGTGTGCTCCGGGGGGTTCCGCGTGCCCGCTGTCCTGCCCTCCGCGCCGTCCAGCTGGCACAGGAGGGACGTGGGCTTCTGCTCCCAGCCCAGCTCCACGGAGGCCAGGCGCAGATCCCTCTGCTCCGGCAGCGAGCCCCGGCGCGGCGCCAGGGCCGGCCCCACCTTGAGGTCGAATCCCTCGGCGGCCGAGGGGGTGCTGGGGGACAGGGCCTGCACGGGGCTGTCCAGGGAGGCCCCGCCGGCCGGCGCCGCTCCGGGTGACACCGTGCCGCCGTTGAGCACCGGGGAACTGTCCCCTCTGGCCGGGGACAGGCTGCCCTCCCGCGAGCCCGACGGCGTCTGCCTGCGGGGCCGCAGGGTGCCCCAGCGGCCGTTGACGCAGGGAGCCTCGTCCGTGTTCCTGACGGGAGACTGGGAGCGGAATTCCCGCGTCTCGGGCACCAGGGCGGGCGGCGTGGCGCTGATGGGAGACGGGCGGGAGTTGAGGCTGGGGCTCAGCGGGGCTCTGCCGCTGGGAGCTTGGCTGAAGACCACGACACACTGTCCCACCTGTGGAAGAGCAGGGAACAGGCATCAGGAGGAGCCTTGGTGCCGGGGAGAAGCGGTTAAGGAGCATTTGGGGCAGGGAATAAAGAGGGAGGGATGTGTGTGAGGGAGCAGGGGCCCCGCTGTGTCCATACCCTGCAGGCAGGATGGCACCACAGCTCCGGGGCTCCGTGGTCCTCGTTCTCCACCTTGAGCGGCTGCCACGTCCAGGGGTTGGCCTGCATGTGCAGCAGCCAGGCGTCTTTGAACAGCTGGGGAGGGAAGGCTCACATTCAGGAGTCCGGGCTGGCATTCAGGAGCCCAGGCTGAATTTTAGAAGCCCAGGATGAGATTTAGCCCAGTTTATGCTGGGCTCAGCTCAGCAGGGCCATGGTGGGAGCGGTGCTTTGCTGCTGCAGACAGAGGATGCTGACCCAGAGCAGCAGCTGATCCCCCATAAGTGACTACACCCCACTGTGGCCATGGATAAATCCCTTCATTGCCATCTGCTATCCCAGTACAAAGTCAGGGCTCATCCTGACAAGCCTCAGTGAAC